GGATTCTTGGCATCACTCCTTTGTTCTTTACTGAAATTTTTTTATTTTGACAAAAGCACAGTCAGAAAATGTGCATGAAACAGAAATATAGTTTTCGGTAAATGAGTAAAATGAGAACAGCTAAGCCAGGCACAAAAGGACTAATACCTTATAATCTCATTTATATGAGGTTCCACAAGTAGTCAAGTTCGTAGAGACAGAAAGCAGAAGAGAAATTACCAGGGGCAGGGGAAAAGAGTAATGGACAGTTATTGTCTAAAGGGTATAGACTTTCAGGGTGCCACGATGAGAAGTTCAGGAAGTGGATGGTGATGATGGTTGCACAACAGTGTGAGTGTACTTAATGCCAATGAACTGTACACTTCAAAATGTTTAAGATGGTTGATTTCATGTTATGGATATTTTACTGAGAAAGAGAGAAATAGGGAGGAAGCAGGAGAGAAGGGGGAGAGAAAGGTAAACACCTATGTAAGTAAAACCCTGATCAGGTAAACAACAGTTTATCTCCATAGAAGTCACCTATGTGTCATTGCTAATCATATCCTCCTGCTTGAGAGAGATCATGATCCTGTCTTTTATGGTAACGACTTCTTCACTTTCTTTATTAATTTGCTTCCTAGGTATGCATCCCAGAATTATGTAATTTGATTTGACTTGTCTTTTAATAACAGCTTTATTGAGATACAATCACATACCATAATATTCTTCTTCAAAGTGTACAATTCAGTGGTTGTGGTATGTTCATACAATTACGCAACCATCACCACAATCAATTTTAGAACATTTCCCTCAGCCCCAAACAAAACTCCCTTATCCGTCAGCACTCACTCCCCGTTCTCAGCTCCCTCCAGCCCCTGGTCACCACTGCTCTACGTTCTGTCTCTGTGGTTTGGTCTATCCTGGACAGTCCCCAGCAGTGGAATCTACATGTTGTAGTGTTCTGTGACTGGCTTATTTCACGTAGCACAATGGTTTCAAAGATTAGCCATGTTGTAGCAGGTATCAACACTTGCTTTCCTTTTGACCAAATAATATTCTTTTCTTATGGATATGCCATATTTTTGTGATTCATCAGTTGATGAACATTCTGGTTGTTTCCACTTTTTGACTATTATGAATAATACTTCTACGGACATTTTAGGACTACTTTTTGCATAGACACGTTTT